GTAACAGGTTCAGAATATGTAGTAATCTAATTTCACATATAAGGCTCTACAGAAGAGAAACCATATAAATGCATGGATTGTGGAAAGACCTTTGCCCAGAGTGATGGACTTGGAAACCACAAAATGATCCCCACAGGAGAGAAACCATATAAATACATGCAGCGGAAAGACCTTTGCTCAAAGAAGTCAACTTATTTCCCATAACATGATCCATTCAGGAGAGAAACCATATAAATGCATCAACGTGGTCATCTTATTTCCCATAAGATGATCCACTCGGGAGAGAAACCATATCAATGCATGGACTGTGGAAAGACCTTTGCTCTGAGCAGTAGGCTTACTGTGCTGTCCAGACAGCATATAGTAATGGGAATTGAGATAGTTAAGTTAGAATTGGGAGCTGTCCCCTTAAGGGAATGCATCATGGTAAATGTAGTTAAGGCATCATGGGAAATGTAGTCCATGTCATGTGGTCACATCTGTAATCCTGATTGGTCACTGAATTGACCCTTGGTTGGGTTGGGGGAGGCCCTTTGTTTCCTTTCCTTGCCTGGACCCAGCAGCATGCTGGTTCCCTCCATTCTATCGTTATAGGATGAAGAGAACTTTCTTTTTACACCATGAATTCAGCTATGCAAAGAATTGGACATTAGATGGATCTCGACATAACCATGAGTTACCTTGAGGATACCTAATACTGTATAATCCAATAAAGAAACTTTGTATGGAAGAATCTGTAGAGTTTGCCTGTCTTACATTCAAGCAGTAATTATAAAAGACAGAACACTAACTGTCCACAAAATGGTCCACACAGGGGAAAAGCCATTTAAATGCATGGAGTGTGGAAAAACTTTTGCTCAAAGGGGTCATCTTATTTCCCATAAAAGGGTCCACACAGGAGAGAAACAATATAAATGCAGGGAATGTGGAAAAACCTTTACTCATAGCAATGGACTTACTATCCACAAAAAGCTCCACACAGGAGAGAAACCATATTTATGTATGGAGTGTGGGAAAATCTTTGCTCAATGTAATTATCTTGCTTCCCATGAACTGATCCACACAGAGGAGAAGCCATATAAATGCATGGAGTATGGAAAGATTTTTGCTCAGAGGTCATATTATTTCCCGTAAGGTGATCCACACAGGGGAGAAGCCATAAAAATGCATGGAATGTGGAAAGAGCTTTGCTCGGAATCATAGTCTTAATTCTTTTAAAAGGATCCACACTCGGGAGAAACTAATGCAATAACAATTCCACCTAGACTTATATACCACTCCACAATGCTTCACTGCACTCTGAGCAGTTTGCAAAGTCAGCATATTTTTCCCAGTAATCTGGATCCTATTTTACCAACACCAGAAGGACGAAAGGATGAATCAACCATGAGCCTGTCAGAATCAATTAGCCTGTAG